TTGGCATGTGGCCTGCAGGGTCTGGCCCAACTGCCCCCCCTCCCCCCCCAGCCAGCTGCAACTGTCTGCTTTGGGCTCCCCCTTCCTCCTCTGGCTTCTGCTTCCTGGCATGGCAGTACAGGGGGAAGGAGCAGGGAGCCCAAGCTGCATCTGGGTGGGGAGCGAGGGGCTGCCTGTACTGCATGTGCTTACAGGAGGGGACTGGACTGCTTGTGTTGTGTGCAACAGAAGGCAGGCTAGGGCTTCACACACTGCAGATGAGCAGCACATGGCCAAGAGGGGAAGCGGGTGCTGTGCCTGCAGCTGAGAGGAGCCTGGCTGCCTGTGCTGAGCAGGATGGAGGGCATAGTGGGTTGCCTGCATGGGGCAGGGGATGCAGCCCCTGGGTCTACAGCCTGCGCTTCATGTTGCCCACAGCTGCCCAGAAATTGGACAGCCTTGATGTGGAGAGAATGACTGTAGTACATGACATTGTTAGTGGTAAGTGCACTAGATAGTTAACATTTAAAATGGGCCAGAGAAAACCTATGGAAAATGCATTCTTTATAAGTATTTTGCCTGTGACATGACTGCTATTAAGATTTGCTTTTTCATTAGTTTAGGAATAGCAGTCTCAGGCAGTTCCCTGGAGGGGCTGGAGAGCAGGAGAAGGTACTTGCCATTCTGCATAAAAAACAACTAGTGCAGGGTAGCCTCCAAAGTGATACAGGATCCACCAGATCAGCAGGGCTCCTTAAAAGCATGATCTTGAGAACAAGGCTGACTGTGGCTTGATCCCTGCCTCTTGGAGAGCTGAGCTATAGGAGGAAATCCCAGTATGTATAGGGGACAGGATGCATATGCAGAGAGACAAGTGTAACCTTTCCAGATCAACAGCCTGACCGGTTTCTGGATGCAGGGCTACTGCCTTTACCACTTTAAATTCCAGGAGGGATTGCCAGCCTCTCGGTGCACCTACCCTTCTCCCCCAAATTCACGTTAGGTGCCAGGAGCAATGGGTCTTTTTTTGGCTGGGACTGAGCATTTAAGTTAATTTAGCCCCTTGTAAGGTCATCACCTGAATGGAATTCAGATGTTACCTGTCACAATAGCTTCTGGATTTTTTGAAAATGAAAATTCCACGGTGCACAGTTCTAGACTTGTTGCAAACCAACTGTATTTCTCATTAGAAGAACCTAAGAAATACCCGTAATGGCCACGTCCAGGCAAGTGTGGAGATGTGCCACTGCTAGTTGTCCCTGGGAAATGCATGTGCCATGCACACTCTAGTGTGGTTGGTCACCCTGGGTGGGGTAGAGGAGGCTGGGGCAGCACTGGGCTGACCCTAGCAGCCTGACCTTGAGCCCCTGGGGGCCTCGTGCAGCTGAAGCAGCAGCAATCTTGCTGCTCAGAGCCTGGCCAGCAGCTGCAGCATAGTTCTGGCTAGTCAGGCTCTGGTTTTGAGTGGCACACACTGCCCCTGCATGTGCTATTCCATTTTTTTATGCAGGTTTTTTTGATCCCTGGATATCCAGGGGTCCACCCCCACTGCTGCTCCCTTGAATTAATGATCTACTCATTTCTGGCCTGAATTCTTGTGGTGTGAAAACAAATAAGTAATATAGCAGGTCACCTGATTTATTTGCATCTACCTGCACAGTTGAAATAGTAACCTGAAAGTAAAGGCTTCCCCATCTGCCACAACACTGTTGGAATGATTTGATTGTAAAAGTGAAAGGTAACATTTATAAAACAGTGAATCTAATTGCCCTGGTACCTGCCTCTGTCTGAGATGACAGGGGGATTTGATTTGATTCTGGTTGTAAAAGTAAAGGGTTTTTCTTGTGTTAACTGCTCTTCTTGCTTGCTTTTCTGTTCCGTTTTATAGCAAAGCTGAACTTAACTGTTGTAAGTGAAGACAGGCACCCGTAAGTGTTTCACCAGACATACAGGACCATAGTGTGCTCAAAAGCTTTCACTGTTATATCAGTACTTACCAGAAAGCATAGTTTTGGAACTGAGCTTAATCAATATAAGGCAGGGTAGATATCTTAGTTAGTTTATAAAAAGGTGCATATGTATATGTAGAGCACAAGCTTTTTAAACCCAAGCTCACTTCATCCACTGCTGTGATGCAGCACTGTCAGCAGAGGGAGCATGATGTGAAATGCAGTCATCTGTTCTGAACACACTGCATTATGGGAGAGGAAAGGTAAGGGTTAAAGAATTTTAAACTGGGATCTAAACTGTGAATGATTTACTGATGTAGGCATCTTGGCTGCTTAAACCTCAGAAAATACGTGCTTTCTATTCAGTGTGAAGTGCTAGAAGGATCTACATCTAAAGAAAGACTGAGAAAGCCCTAATTGTGCATCAGTATGAAACACATCAGTGAAGGAACCAAATAGGTTCTCCAACTCCTTGCTTTTGGGGGATGGCATAGCTGAAAGATTTCACATGCCCTAGTTAATTCTTTGAGGTGTCATGCAGAAAAAGGAGGCTAGTGGGTTTATTGAAGTGTAGATCACACCATTTCTATATGCTACTTATGCTTCACTGCGGAACAGAGACTGCTGTGGGAAAGACAAAAAGATTAAAACACCCACTGAGGTAAACCTGCAAGGGTAAAGTAGCAGTCATTCACAGCTTCTGTGCACCAAGTAAAGGGGAAGCTCATGTTCCAGCAGCCCACCATCTAGGAGCATTCAAGTCAGTGTATTGTTAACAAATAATACAGTGCTCATTGTTTTAAGAAATGTGACAGGTGTATTAAGGATGGAAAATGCATCATGAAGCAAGACTGATGTTGCATTTGGCTAACTCAGAAGCTCAAATCTTCCTGTCTGTGCTTTCCCTTCCATAGAGACATCCTCGTTCAAACAAACACCTCACTACGCAGCATGCAAAGGGTGGTGCAAAAATAGTTTATTACGATATAGTTTATGTAAAGTTAGGTAATTATATTTACAAAATAAAAATGATCAGCTACATCCATGGGAACCTAGCATGTCACACAGGATTTGTAAGGAATAAATATTGTGATAAAAGTGACACTTCTATTACAGTGAACAGTTGACTGGGAACAGTGGCTTTAAAAAAGCACTGAAATAAAATCAAAGGGAGAGGAAAGGGAGAAGTTCCTGCTCGTACTCAGTAAAACAGAAGCCTCAAACAAACACACATTCCCCTTTGTAAGAGGACATGGATCGAGTCTAACACACAACTCCTCAGCCAGGTGCAGGTCTCCAGCCCTCCCCCTGCCCCCTCACCCTACCTTGCACCATGCAGACTTGCAGCACTGGTGGTTGGGTTTTTAGAATGCATGGCCACTTCTTCCCTCCTCACCACACCAGGTCTACTCAGATTTGTACGCCACCCTCAAAAGCATTCACCAGCAACATGCCCCATGGGGCTTTATCTGCTGTCATTACTGCCACTCAGCCAAGGAGCAGATCAGGTGGCGGCTGCCTTAGTCTTGCCCCACTGCAGAAATGTAGTCACCTTGTAGTTGACTCCAGGGTGTCACCAGAAGGCACAGCTCCTTGGGATTTCTCTTTCCATCTGCCCCAGGGCTGAAGCTCTTGCAATTCAGTTGGTAATGGAGGGTGCATTTTTCAGGCTCTTCCAGTTGTGGCTGGGCAGCTGGCCAAAGGTGTGTGCAAGAGCCAAGGCAGACCTTCAGTCCCAACTGTGTTGGCAGCATGAGGGTGAGGAAGAACATCATCTGGACTTGTGTCCATTGCGGCTGTTACAGAGGTATCACCCAAAACCACATTTCCCTCTCCCACTCCCTCTTATCCCCAAAACCCCTATCGGTTCAGAAAAATGAGTTCTCATAATCTCAAGTCACCCCAGAACTCCAGGTCCCAAGAGGGTGAATGTGGGTCAGAGCCTAAGACTCCTTATCTATTTCCTACATACCAAAGTCTAGTATTTTACAACACATTTTGCTCTCTCTAGATTAAAACAAAAAGTCAGTGTTCCTGTCCCATTGAACACACAATTATGGTGTGAGGAAGGTGGGAGGAGTGAGGAAACAATTGCTTGTGATTGCAGTAAACTATTACTGGTCAGTGGCCAGCTGGGTTAGTTCTGACAGTACCAACTCGATTCGCTAGTCAGGCTTCGGCTAGTGGACACCCGCACCCTCAGTCTCCTCTAGTAGTCTAATAAAGTGCAGGCTGAGGCAGGATAAAGCACTAGGGCGAGCTGACAAAGCTTGGTTCGTTTCAGCCCATGTTACTATTGAGTGTCCTTCCCCAGTCTTGCAACTATTTTTGCATCCGTTCCTAGAAAACGCTTCGTAATACAGTGATAGGGGATCGCATTGTAAGTGCAACTCAGTAGTAACTACATTGTACTGAAAGTTATATTTTAAGACAGTTCCTTACATATCAAGTTACAGTAAATTCCATGCTGTTGTACAATATGTAACTGCACAGCTAGGAGACAGATAGGTCTGTAGTTCCCTTAATTCCATACAGCCTAACAGAGTAGCTTCACTGCTGCTGCATGAGTTACACAGTCACAGACTAAGCCCTAAGCTCCTTTGTTCACTCGCTGCAACAGTCCTATGTTACTGTGCAAGGATCCTTGCGTATGCTGTAGGCACAAAGTAGTTACTACTTCTATAGCTAGCAGTTTTGCACGCTCACAGGATGTTAATGCCACTGTTGAACACAAGATTACTGAATTCTCTGAATGGAAAAAACAAT